ATCCTTCTAGTAGCCTTTATTATTATAGCTTTGCAGTAAGCTTTGAAATTGGAAAATGTAAATCCTCCAACTTTTTCAAGCCTATTTTGAGTATTGTGGAGCCTTTGAATTTCCATCTGAATTTTCGAATCAGCTTGTGAAATTCTGCAGAAAAAAAAATTTGCCTGGGATTTTGATAGGGATTATATTGAACTGTATGTCAATTTGGGGAGTCATTCCATCTTAACCATATTTAGCATTCTGTTCCATGATCATTGAATCTTTTTAAATCTAATTAGGCCTTTAATGTCTTCCACAATGTTTTTTTAACTTTCAGAATATAAGTTTTGTATTTCCTTTCTTAAATTTATTCCTAAATAAATTGGTATTCTTTTATATTATAGTAAACGGAATTGTTTCTTGATTGCATTTTTAGATTATTCATTGCTAGAATGTAGAAATAAAATTGATTAATTTCTTGTCATATTCTGATGACACTTAGTCCCAGTTAACCCTGTTTCCTGCCATATGTGATTACACTTTCTCTTTCAATGATCCCGTGATATGATATCATCTTGATTATAAAGAGTAAAGAGTTTTTGTCCTCTCCTTTTTTTTTTTTTTTTTTGGCTGCGTTGGTTCGTAGCTGCGGCATGCAGGATTTTCCTTAAGGCATGTGGATCTTTCATTGCGGCACATGGCTTCTCTCTAGTTGTGGTGTGCAGGTTTTCTCTTCTCTGGTTGTGGCACGTGGGCTCCAGAGCATGTGGGCTCTGTAGTTTGTGGCACGCGTGCTCTCTAGTTGTGGCGCTTGAGCTCAGTAGTTGTGGTGCGTGGGCTTAGTTGCATGTGGGATCTTAGTTCCCCGACCATGGATCGAACCCGCGTCCCCTGTATTAGAAGGTGGATTCTTTACCACTGGACCACCAAGGAAGTCCCCTAAGTATTCTTAATATGTTCCATACATATGATTGCCTTCTGCAATTGATGTGCTAGCTTTACTCCTTTAAAACTTGCATTTCGAGAGCCTAATAGCATAATAGTTTTGAAGCTAATAGCAATACAAAAGAGGAAAAAAATATATATCTTGTCCCTTCACACAGAGTACGTTCTAAATTGAAATACTCTATAATGAATAATAAACAAATGCGTAACTAACATGTCTTAGTGTAAAAATTGCTGTAAGGAAAATTAAAGCAGCTAATGGAAGAGTGGGTGTTGGGGCTTGGAACTGACCTTTTAGGAATGGGAGTGGCAATCTGATAAGGTGCCTTTGAGCACACTGATGAGGGATATGAGTAATCTTCCTGGGTGAGGAGTTTTCCAAATGTGAGACAGTGGGAAGTTGAAAGACCTGAATCTGGAATGTGTTTGAGGAACTTCGGGGAAACTTACATGGGTAGAAGGGAGTGAACAAGAGGGAAAATGACTAGAGTTAAGGGTAACAGGGTAGTAGCTGCGGGTTTTGGTACATAGGTCACAAACTGCCTATCAAGGGCATTCAAGACCTTGATTCTTTTCTGAATAATTTGAGAAAACAGGATTTTGAGTAGAAGAGTGGCATTATACAATTTTTATAGTGGATCACTTTGCCTACTTTATAGAAGGTAGGCATTATTTGGGAGGGGAATGTACTTTTATACTCTTGGTTACAATGTGTGACAATAAAATAATACAGATTAAAGTCATCAAAGATCAAATGTGCATGGGAAAGACTCCAGGAGAGGCTGCACACAAGGTTCCCGGTTGTCCTCTACCAGTGGAGTCATGTGAACAGTGCTGAATTTTCCCAGCAATGATGTTTGAATGTTTGACAACACGTGTGAAGTGTTGCCTACCAGGGAAGCTCACCCAAGCCTGCTGTCTCTAGACCCCAGAATCAGAATGTTAGTGTTGTCCAAAGCCTCAGGCATACAAAAAACGGGCATCTACCACAAATCACATTGTTAGTATAAACTGTATGTTATGGCTTCAGACCTCATGTCAAAAAAGATACTCATATTAGGCAGCATATCAGGGACTCAGAGGTTATCTTCCAGTCATCAGTCATGGCCACTCATTTCTTTGCAAGATGCAGGGATGGAGTAACTGCATACCAACGTTCCTTTTTTACATAGGAACATAGGGTATGTTCCAGCTAGACTATTAGTTGGAATCTTTGTTACAGAAGCTTTCTTCTAAATTTGAGGTTAGTTGGGATTAGCAGATGTAAACTATTTTATGTAGAATTGAATAAACAATACAGAAGCTTTCTTCTAAATTTGAGGTTAGTTGGGATTAGCAGATGCAAACTATTTTATGTAGAATTGAATAAACAATACAGCACAGGGAATTATATTCAGTATCCTGTAGTAAACCATAATGGATAAGAATATAAATATATATATTTATGTATGTATAAATGAATGACTTTGCTGTACACCAGAAACTAATACAATATTTTAAATCAGCTACACTTCAATAAGAGAAATTCTAAAATATTCAAATTAGTGCTTTGGTAGAGTTAGGTGAATGGTGGTCTACAGAATGAAGAAGGATGGCAAGATGTTAGACTATGATAACCAGTCTTTCAGTAGTCTGTCACACTTACCTTGAAATCAGATGCTGAGGATCCACATCTTACTCATCATTGTATTTTGTTCTATATACCTGGATCTTCAGGGGACCCGTGATCACAATACTCAATGTTTGGTTCTCTTAGGTGGGCTTAATTGGATTCCAAACTCTACATGTTGGAATGGCTAAAGCCTTGGCCCTGTGCCTTCACCTTTATTCTACATGTTTCTAAACACAGTCTCATCCAGTTCTCTATCTTTGAATAATGTATATTGATGATATCCACATTGCTATTTTCAGATAAAACCTTTTTAAAGATTTATATATTCAACCTGTTCATGTTTATATAGTACTTGGGTATGTAATAGTCATCTTTTTTTTTAAATTAATTTATTTATTTTTGGCTGTGTTGGGTCTTCATTGCTGCATGTGGGCTTTCTGTAGTTGCAGAAAGCGGGGTCCACTCTTCCCTGCGGTGCACGGGCCTCTTTTGTTGTGGAGCAGAGGCTATAGGCACATGCTTCAGTAGTTGTGGCACATGGGCTTAGTTGCTCTGTGGCATTCGGATCTTCCCAGACCAGGACTTGAACCCATGTTTCCTGCATTGGCAGGTGGATTCTTAACCACTGCACCCCCAAGGAAGTCCCTGTAATAGTCATCTTAAACTTTGTTTCACAATGCGTGCTAGATTTTCCTCTCATTCTGGACTTCAGTAATATTCCTCACATTATTAAGAGGCATTCCACCTACCCAGTGGCTGAAACCACATAATTCGTGGAATAATCCTTGAGTCTTAACCTCTTCCATGCTTCTCCCATTAAGTCCATCAGTGAACCTTGTCTTTTCTTTGAACATATCCAGATTTCCTCCACCTCTTACATATTCATTGCTCCTTTAACCATGATTCACAGACTGCAATTGCCTTCTTTATTCCTTTGCTTCGGTGGTCTGTACCTAGAATTAAACCTGGGTGTCCTAAATTTTGACTCATTTCTGATACTATCTATGTGGAAATAGTGTCAGATTCTACAAGTTAAGGGTTCAGTCCCACATGGTTGTCCCAATGTCAGATGTCAATTGGAACTGCAGATTGTTACCTGTGCTTCTGACCAACTGGCTGTAAGTTGGAGGTTCCCATGACCCGCTTCTTGGGTTCAGTTAATTTCCAAGGGTGGCTCTGAGAACTGAGAAACATTTACTTATGTTTATAACCAAGTGAAGAGGTACAAGGTCCGAAATGAAGAGGTACAAGAAGGCAAGGTCTGAAGGATTCCTGAATGCGGGAGCTTCTTTCCCCAGAACTGGGGTGCACCACCCTCCAGGCACATGGATGTGTTCACCCATCCAAAGGTTGAGCAAATTTTGTTAAGAGTTCTTATAGAGCTTTAATATCTAGGCCCTCTCTCCTTTCTCAGAGGCCAGTGGGTGGAGCTGAAAGTTCCAACCTTCTAATCACTTAGTCTTTCTGGTGGTCAGTCCCATCCTGAGGTTATGTAGGAACCCTATGCTAAGTCACCTCATTAGCATCCTAAACACTTAGGAAATTACAAGGCTTTAGGAGCTCTGTGGAGGAAGACCAAATATATTTCTTTTTATACCACACATAGAATTGTCACTAAATAGTTACTTCACATGAAGGCAATATTTGAAACAGTTTTCTTCCAAATTAAGATTATGAGAGATTGCGGAATGATTCCTTGTTCTCTTCTTTCCTAGAAATCAGGAAAGTTGATGACCTTCTGCAGCATCACTTGACAAATCACAGCATTCAAAATACTGTGGAACAATGCTGCGAACATAATACATTTGCAAATATTGTTAATCAGAGCGAAAGTCATTTCCTGTTAAAGCAAAATTGTGATATGTTTGACTTAACTGAAAAACCTTTAAAATCAAATATAAGTTTTGAAAACCAGAAGAGAAGCTGTAACATAAAGAACTCTGCTGAGTTTAATGGAGATGGGAAATCCCTTCTCCATGCTAACCATGAGCAATCTTTTACTGAAATTAAATTTCCTGTAAGTGCAAAACCCATCAGCAATAACTCCCTGTCTAGTAAGCAACAGAGAACTCACAACATAGAGAAAGCCCATGTATGCAGTGAGTGTGGGAAAGCCTTCTTCAAGATGTCTCAGCTCTTTGATCATCAGAGAGTTCATACTAGAGAAAAACCTCATGGATGCAGTCTGTGTGGGAAAGCCTTCTCCAGAAAAGCCAGGCTCACTGAACATCAAAGAACTCATACCGGACTGAAACATTATGAGTGCACTGAATGCAATAAAACCTTCTTCAAGAAATCGCAGTTCAATAAACATCAGAAAAGTCATATGGGAGAGAAACCTTACACATGTAGTGAATGTGGGAAAGCATTCACCACAAAGTGTCTGCTCATTTATCATCAGCGAACTCATACAGGGGAGAAGCCCCATGGATGCAGTCTGTGTGGAAAAGCCTTCTCTACAAAGTTCAGTCTCACTACACATCAGAAAACTCATACAGGAGAGAAACCTTACATATGCAGTGAATGTGGAAAAGGCTTCATCGAGAAGAGGCGTCTTATTGCACACTGTCGAACTCATACTGGTGAGAAACCCTTTGTATGCAGTGAATGTGGGAAAAGTTTCACCTTGAAGAAGAGTCTTATTCCACATCAGCGAACTCATACTGGAGAGAAACCCTATACATGCAATGATTGTGGAAAAGGCTTCACCTTGAAGAACCCTCTCATCAGACATCAGCGAACTCATACAGGAGAGAAACCCTATGTATGTAGTGTATGTGGAAAAGGCTTCACCATGAAGGGTGATCTCGTTGTACATCAGCGAACTCATATTGCAGAGAAGCCATTTATATGCAGTGACTGTGGGAAAGGCTTCACTGTGAAGAGCCAACTGATTGTACATGAGCGAACTCATACCGGAGAGAAACCTTACGTGTGCAGTGAATGCGGAAAAGGCTTTCCAGCCAAGGCCCGGCTGATTGGACATCAGCGAACACACACAGGAGAGAAACCCTATGTATGCAGTGATTGTGGAAAAGGCTTCATTCAGAAGGGCAATCTCATTGTACATCAGCGAACTCACACAGGAGAGAAACCCTATGTATGCAATGAATGTGGCAAAGGCTTATCCGCGAAAAGGAAGCTCGTTGCACATCTGCGAACTCATACTGGAGAGAAACCATATATATGCAGTGAATGTGGCAAGGGCTTCACCGTGAAGAGTACTCTGGGTACACATCAGCAAACTCACACTGGAGAGAAACTGTACAAATGCAACGAGTGTGGTAAAGCCTTTAGGAAGAAGACATGCCTCATACGACATGAGAGATTTCACTCAGGAAAGACTTCTTTGCATGTACTGAATGTGGAAAATTCTCTTTGTGCAAAAATAATCTCATTACCCATCAGAGAATTCACACAGGAGAGAAGCCATATGAATGCAGTGAATGTGGGAAAACCTTCACCACAAAGTCAGGGCTCAGTGTTCACCAAAGAAAACATACAGGAGAGAGGCCCTATGGATGCAGTGAGTGTGAGAAAGCTTTTGCCCACTTGTCAATCCTTGATAAACATAAGAGAATTCACAGGTAGTCACTTTGGGGAAGCCTGTTGCCGGTTGTAGACCCTCAAAATAATAGTATGCAGAGAAGAATCACAATGCAAAGAATGTGGTATTATCTTTAGTGATCAAGTACCTCATATTTTATATTGATGAAAAAATTTACAAAACTACTTGGATACAATCAGCCTTGGTGAAAATATTTTAGGACATTCTATGTCTAAAAAGTATATACTGAGATAAAGCCTATGAGTGTGAAAGACTAGGAAAGCCTTCAGTGGAAATAAACCCTATCATATGTGATCATCATAGAACATGAATGAATGAATGTTTCTAATTGGTAGAAGTATAATTGTGGAAAAGCCTTTGCCCAGAAGTAATACCTCAACAGATGTCAGTTATCACTAGAGAAATACTTTCCTGTGGCAATGAATATAGCAGGGTTTGCAGCAGTAAATATTGCTTTATCATTTGCCAGGAAATCCATGCAGAAACCCATTCTATATGGTGGACGTTAACAAAATATCAGACAACTTAATGAAGGAAAGAAGCCTTGGGGAAATGATGAATGAGAGCATTCTGTTACAAGTCTTAAGGGATACTACACCTCACAAGCAACTGAAGGATACCTTCAGCCATATTTCTAGTTTCCTTGTCATTGATCTTATAAATTTTACATAGTGGCAGTTACTCTCAACATGGATTGAATTTGCATTATTTAAATTTTGCATTTCTTTGGTTCCAAGTTTGTGTTATTTCAGAATATTTGAAGTACTTCAAAATGAAAAATGTACTCGTTTCTTAAGTATAACAACAGATCTGGATGTGTTTAACCAAGTTTGTAAGTACCATCAGCGGGTTTATAAAATTAATATAAATGTGATGTTTTTATAACTTTTAATTTTGAAGTAAGTTTAGAATCACAAAAACAAATATTCCAGAGATTTCCTAAATGCCCTTCAGCCCACTACTCCCAAAGGTAAAATCTTATAATAACCACACAGTTTACTGTGTGGTTATATAAGGTCAAATAGAGGAAAGTGAAATTGTTACAGTGCTGTTAACTACAGGGTTTATTTCGATTGCACCAGTTTTAACATGTAGTAGTTTTTGTTTGGTTTTTATATATCTCCTTAAGAAATTTCATCACATATGTAGGTTCCTGTAACCAACACCCCAGTAAAAATTTAGAATGCTTTGTCAACACAAACTCCCTCATGCTACATCCTCATAGTCACATCCTTTCCCTGACACTAACCCTTGGCATCACAGATCTTTTTGTATCCATAATTTTGTCATTTATAGAATATTAGAAAAATAGGGCCTCCCTGGTAGCGCAGTGGTTGAGAGTCCGCCTGCTGATGCAGGGGACACGGATTCATGCCCCATTCCGGGAAGATCCCACATGCCGCGGAGCAGCTGGGCCCGTGAGCCATGGCCACTGAGCCTGCGCATCCGGAGCCTGTGCTCCACAACGGGAGAGGCCACAGCAGTGAGAGGCCCGCATACAGCAAAAAAAAAAAAAAAAAAAAAAAAAATCATTTAGGATATATCCTTTTGAGGTTGACTGTTTGACCTTGTGAAATTGTAGAAAACAGACATATTGGTCTCTGCCCCCAGTTTCTGGCACAGAGCTTCTAAAACCCTTGTAAATTTCTACATAAGAGTGTGTGGAGCATCTCTTATTCTATTGATGTGATTCTGGGTGGGCTCCTGGATGGGGGTTGGTCAACAGAGAGATCCAGCCATGATTAGAAGCTTGGAATTTTCAGCCCACTCCCCATCTTCCAGAGAAGGGAGAGGGGCTAGAACTGGAGTTACTAATTAATCATGCCTATGTAAGGAAGTCTCCATAAAATCCCAATAGTAGGAATTTTGGAGAGCTTCTACATCGGTGAACACATTCAGGTATGGGGAGAGTAACACACCACAGCACAGGGACAGAAGCTCCTGTGCTTGGGACCCTCCCACATCTCGCCCTATTTTTGTCATTTAGCTGTTCATCTGTATCCTTTATCATATACTTTAATAAACTGATAAACGCAAGTGTTTCCCTGAGTTCTGTGAGCCATTTAGCAAAACTAATTGAACCCAAAGAAGAGGTTGTGGGAATCTCCGGTTTGTAGCCAAATCAGACAAGTTGTAGGTAACTTGGGCACCTGCTGCGTGTGATTGACATCTGAAGTGGGGTGGAAGCAGTCTTATGGGATTGAGCCCTTAACCTGTGGGATCTGACACTATCTCCAAGTAGACAGTGTTAGAACTGAGTCACAGTTAAGGATCCAGTTGGTGTAGTGAAGAATTGCTTGGTGTGGTTAAACGCCCCACCCCCGATATTTGGTGACAGACGTGTCAGAAGTGTTGCGAGTGTGGCAGTAGCACGAGTAAAAGAAATACAACTATGGATTTTTCCACTATAGACCTCGAGTAAATTCAACCTTGGATCCATCCAGAAGGTCTCTGCACATCCTTTCTGCCACAAGAATATCAGAGTTCATGCAACTGGCCGTACCCAAGGTATTCCTGCCTAAGGGTTCAAGGGCACCATCAGTTTGCTGGTTTTGCCCAAACTGATGACTGAAATGCATCTCATACCACGTTGGCCTTGGATAGGTGCCGGCCCCTGAAAATTTAATTTAGCTCTATGCCTGTGACCATTTCTTGCAAAGACAGGAAGGCAGTGGGGTGCCCATAAGACATTTCTGTGTCTTCCCACCCAGCCAAGTGATAGCAGCCGTTAAAGCTGCTCCCGTCCTAAATGCCAAAACCTCTGTGAGGTCATGGAGCCATGTGATGTCATAGGACCTGTGCACGGCCAGAACTCGGACTTCTGAAGCTAACCCAGAGCCCTCGCCAGACACACTCCTCCCAGGCGCTTGGCTTCCCTAGCAACAGCTACAGAAGCACTTCAGAGAGAACACATCACAATCAGAAGTGGTTTTAGACCGGGTTCAGCCTTTGGCAGCTTCCAGAGGAGTATTCAGAGGCTCAAGATATGCTGAGCCTGATTCTGGGTGAGGATCCCAAGTGAGGGGCCTTTGGGGTCGGTGAAGAGGAATGCGTGTCAATGACTGTGTTTGGGGTCTATTTGGGTTGAGTCACTGAGGAATCTGGGCGTTAGTGATGGAGCCTTAAATTAAGGCTTAATATGAAGTGTTTAATGATTGAAGGTCCTGTTGGTCAGGGTTTAGGGTCTATATGTTAGGTCTGCAAGATTCGTTAATTGAAAACTGGATGGAAGGTGTGAAACCAATGAGCACTGCCTCTCCCCTAGGTTAGCGATTTAATATCCAGCTCATGATCTGGAGAAGCCTGGAATTGGGGGAGGAGTGTCAATGGGAAAGAGTGTCTGTGGTAAATTTCAGATTCAATTTGAGGTTAGTGTTGTTTAGGGAGTACAGAGTTTGTCTGTGTTTGAGAGCATAGGAGTCGGGAAGTTTTGAGACCCATAGTCCCAGGCTAGTGGGTGTTTAGAGGCTCAACCTTTGGATCCTTCCCCAAGGTTCCTGTTAAAAATTTGTCTCCTGGGCTTCCCTGGTGGCGCAGTGGTTGAGAGTCCGCCTGCCGATGCAGGGGACACGGGTTCGTGCCCCGGTCTGGGAAGATCCCACATGCCACGGAGCGGCTGGGCCCGTGAGCCATGGCCACTGAGCCTGCGCGTCCGGAGCCTGTGCTCCGCAACGGGAGAGGCCACAACAGTGAGAGGCCTGCGTAATGCAAAAAAAAAAAAAAAAAAAAAAAAAAAAAAATTTGTCTCCTACATACACTCTTCTCATTGTCCCCACAAAAATCAGAATAATGCACCGTGGTCAAGTGGTGTGTATAGGAATAAAGACAGGATATTTGTTCATTTTACTGCAAATTTACTCTTGGGCATTTCCTTTCAGATTTCTTTGACACAAGTAAGAACAACCATTTTCCTGAATTCTACTCCTCAATGAGAGCCATTTCATTGAAAAAAAATTTTTTTCAGACTACTGTTCTAAAACTTGGGATCATCTGTATAAACATACATTCAAGAATCTCGCTATCTTCTAGGCTGTATTTTTTGCATTGTGTCTTGCAAATAATAAAAGTTCACGTTATTTCATCTTATAACCAGTATTTCATATTTTCAGGTTTTTGAATTTCAGCAAGTCTGATAATTGGGTACTTGTATCATATAGCTGTTTTTTTGTTTGTTTTGTTTTGTTTTTTGCGGTACGCAGGCCTCTCACTGTTGTGGCCTCTCCCGTTGCGGAGCACAGGCTCCGGATGCGCAGGCTCAGTGGCCATGGCTCACAGGCCTAGCTGCTCCGCGGCATGTGGGATCTTCCCAGACCGGGGCACGAACCCATGTACTCTGCATTGGCAGGTGGACTCTCAACCACTGCACCACCAGGGAAGCCCTCATATAGCTGTTTTAATTTGCATCTCCCTAATAACAAATGATGTAGACCATTTTTTCATATGTTTGTTTGCCATCTGTTATCTTTGATCAAGTGTCTGTTCAAAGTCTTTGCCCATTTTTAAAATTGGAGTTTCTTATTGTTGACTTTTTAAAAATAAATTTATTTATTTATTTTTAATTTATTTTTGGCTGGGTTGGGTCTTCGTTGCTGCACGCAGGCTTTCTCTAGTTGAGATGAGCAGGGGCTACTCTTCGTGTGTGGGCTTCTCATTGCAGTGGCATTTCTTGTTGTGGGGCATGGGCTCTAGGAGTGCAGGCTTCAGGAGTTGTGGCACGTGGGCTCAGGATTTGTGGCTCGTGGGCTCTAGAGCACAGGCTCGGTAGTTGTGGCGCATGGACTTAGTTGCTCCGCAGCATGTGGGATCTTCCCGGACAAGGGCTCAAACCCATGTCTCTGCATTGGCAGGCAGATGCTTAACCACTGCGCTACCAGGGAAGTCCCTTATTTTTGACTTTTAAGGATTCTTTCTATGTTCTGGGTATCAGTCCTTTACCAGTATAGGACTTACGGGATGAAAGTGTTGAGATACTTTTGAGATCCTTTTTTTTTTTTTGCCAATGGACCACTAAGTGTTCCAGCAACATTTGTTGAAAAGTCTATTTTTAAATTTATTTTTGGCTGAGTCAGGTATTAGTTGTGGCGTGTGGGCTCTTTGTTGTGGGCACGGGCTTCAGAGCATGTACGCTCTGTAGTTTGGAGCACGCAGGCTCTCTAGTTGAGGCGTGTGGGCTTAGTTGCCCCATGGCATGTGGTATCTTAGTTCCCCAACCAGGGATCAAACCCACGTCTGCTGCATTGGAAGGCGGGTTCTTAAGCACTGGACCACCAGGGAAGTCCCTGAAAAGTCTATCTTTCTCCTTTGAATAACCCTTGTACCTCCATCAAACACTTGAATATACTTGACGTATGTGGGTCTTTTTCTGGGATCTCTGTTCTGTTCCATTGATCTATGTGTTTGTCCTTTCACCAATACTATTAAAGGTCTATAAGTCTTCAAATCTGTTGATATTAGTTAGCTCTATATGATGGTTCTTTTTGGTCAGAAATTGTTTTGCTATTTTCAGTGGAGATACCTGGCAAATATTACCTTTTCCAGTAGAACAATTTTGTCACTTTGATTTTCTATACCCCTCGATATGATATTAGAAAGGGACTTCAATTCAGAGGTGTCTTTTCCAAAATGCATAACCCCTGTTTAATGAGGAAGAGAAGGTCAATATACAAAATACCTGGGACTTCCCTGGTGGCGCAGTGGTTGGGAATCTGCCTGCCAATGCAGGGGACACGGGTTCAATCCCTGGTCCAGGAAGACCCCACATGCCACGAAGCAACTAAGCCCGTGCACCACAACTACTGAGCCTGCGCTCTAGAGCCCGTGAGCCACAACTACTGAGCTCACGAGCCACAACTACTGAGCCCACGTGCCATATCT